TAGCCAGTTGAGCTATAGGCGCCGAGCCCAGTTTTTGAATTCTTTCTGAATCTGCAAATAAAAATAGATCAATCCGACAGCAAAACCAAAATCTTATTGGAAACATTCAAACAAATCTAGATGAGATGGAGCTATGGGCTGAACTGCATCCTTCTGAAATTCATCTGTCAAATGAATTTGACAACTAACTAACTCCCAGTACCTCAGAATGTGAATGTATTTGGAGGTGATTAAGTTAAAATGAGGCCTCCTGGGTGGGCCCTGATCCAATGGTGTCTTTATGAGAGGGAATCTGGATACACTGAGCCACACCAGGACTGCACACACACAGTGGAAATGCCATGTGAGGGGACAGAGAGAAGGCACCCATCTACAAGCCAAGGAGAGAGGCAGGCCTTGCCAGAAAACACACCTGCTGACACCTGAGCCTTGAACTACATGTGTCCAGAGCTGTGAGAAAATAAGTTTATGTTGAAGTTATCTAGTATGTGGTAATGTTACAGCAGTTCCAGCAAACTAATACAGACAATATCCCCATGAACCCTCAAATACAAGCAGGAGGGAAAAATCATAATACCTGAATCTGGGCTGAGAGTGGTGGCTCTTGTCTGTAATCCTAGCACTCTGGGAGGCTAAGGTAGGTAGATTGAGGAGTTCAAGACCAGCCTGAGCAAGAGGGAGACCCTGTCTCTACTAAAAATAGAAAACAAACAAACAAGCCAGGTGTGGGAGTGGGTACTTATAGTCCCAGTTATTTGGGAGGCTGAGGAAAGAGGATTGCTCAAGCTCAAGACTTTGAGGTTGTTGTGAGCAACAGAGTGAAACTCTATCTCAAAATAAATAAATAAATAAATAAATAAAATAAAACCTGAATCTGCATCTGTGAAGAAGGAAGCCAAGGGAAGTAATACGGCATCTGAAATAATCTGAAAACAGAACTCCAAAACAGATATTCACTGGAAGCACACAAGGCCAAACTGACAATAGAAGCCGAAAAGGGTGGAGTTTTTGCCCACACCAATGAGATAGAAGTGCAGTTGGTCCAGGGAGGAAGATCTGAAGGAGCTAGTAAACTCTTTATCTGTGACAACACTCAAAACAGCCAAAATTCCTTTCAAGGACAAAGTCTCTCCGTAAAGTGAAAATTCAGAACATGGAATCATAATTATGCATGACGGGGAAAACACGACTTGAAGTCAAGTCCAGATACAAGTGGAGGGGGCTGGACATGGTGGCTCACACCAGTAATCCTAGCACTCCTGGTGGCTGAGGTGGGAAGATTGCTCCAGCTCAAGAGTTCAAGATCAGCCTAAGCAAGAGCAAGACCCCCATCTCTAAAAAAAAAAAATAGAAACATGAGCAGGGGGCCTATAGTCCCAGCTGGGGGGCCTATACTCCCCCTCAAGAGGCTGAGGCAGGAGGACGGCTTGCGGCCAGCAGTTTGAAGTTGCTGTGAGGTAGGCTGAGGCCATGACACTCTAGCCTGGGACAACAGAGTGAGGCTCAGTCTCAAAAAAAAAAAAAAAAGGATAAGGAGTTGTTAAAGAAATTTCAAGACATACACGTATTAATGAATAGCCACTCAATGTCAATTGTGCATTTATTTGAGATACTATGTATATAACTTAAATAAAATTCAAAATATAATCCCAAGAGATTGTTACTGAAACTGGATGATTTAAAAATTCTTATGAAGAGGCTCAGTGCCTGGAGCTCAGTGAGTAGGGCGCCAGCCACATACACCAAGGCTGGCAGGTTCAAGCCCGCCCGGGCCTACTAAACAATAATGACAACTGCAACCAAGAAACAGCTGGGCATTGTTGATGGGCATCTGTCCCAGCTATTCAGGAGGCTGAGGCAAAAGAATAGCTTAAGCCAGGTGGAGCCTGTGGCTCAAATGGGTAGGGCACCAGCCCCATATGCTGGGGGTGGCGGGTTCAAACCCAGCCCCAGCCAAAAAAAAAAAACCCAATAGCTTAAGCCTAAGAGTTTGAGGTTGCTGTGAGCTATGATGTCACAGCACTCAACTGATGACAACATAGTGACTCTGTCTCAAAAAAAAATAAAAATTCTTTTGAAGTATTTGTCTTTATTTCCAAATAAACTACACATTAATAACATACATATCTTTATTTCCAAGTAATAAAAGTTATTGAAAAGTATTAAAGATTGCAGAAATATAGGGAACAGAAATAGATGTGAGGATTTGAGGTTTTTTAGACAGAGTCTCACTCTTTTGCCCAGGTTAGAGTGCCGTGACATCAGCCTAACTCACAGCTACCTCAACTTGGGTTCAAGCAATGCTTAGCCTCCTGAGTAGCTGGGACTACAGGTGCCTGCCACCCACCTAGTTAGTTGTTGTTTGTTTGTTTGACACAGAGTCTCACTTTGTTGCCCTTGGTGGAGTGCCCGAAGCTTCATATGTCACAGCAACCTCAAACTCTTGGGCTCAAGCAATTCTATTGCCTTAGCCTCCCAAGTAACTGGGACTACAGGCACCCACCACACCATCTGGCTATTTTTAGAGACAGGGTCTTGCTCTGGTTCAGGCTGCTCTTGAACCTGTGAGCTCAGGCAATCCATCTGCCTTAGCCTCCCAGAGTGCTAGGATTATAGTAGCAAGCCACTTTGAAGGCCTGGCCAGATTTGAGCATTTAATATATGACATTTTACTTCAGGAGAAAGATGAAGAATTTTTTTTCCCAAGCCTCCTCCTCCCCTCAAGATGAAGAATTAATAAGTATTTCTGGTATAGTTGGTTTTATTTCTGGATATAAACAGATCTTTTTCTTTCTTTCTTTCTTTTTTTTTTTTTTTTTGAGACAGAGCCTCAAGCTGTCGCCCTAGGTAGAGTGCTATGGCATCAAAGCTCACAGCAGCCTCCGGCTCCTGGGCTGAAGCAATTCTCTTGCCTTAGCTTCCCAAGTAGTTGGAACTACAGGTGCCCATCACAACATACGGCTATTTTTTCATTGTAGTTGTCATCGTTTGGCAGGCCTGGGCTGGATTCAAACCTGCCAGCTTTGGTGTATGTGGCTGGCGCCTTAGCCGCTTGAGCTAGAGGCGCCGAGCCTGGATATAAACAAATCTTATACTTGACTCATACCATATACAATAATCAATTCTAGATGGATTAAAATATTAAACCTATGTGTATGCATACACACAGAAACACATACAAAAAACTGCACAATTTTTCCTTTACTCTCTTGCCCTCTGAAATTTTATAGAAGCAAAACCTTCCTAAGAAACACAGAAAACACTAGACATAAAGTGAGAAACCTATTTTATAGAAATAAAATAGACAACAATATAAAACTGTTTATTGCAGCATTACTCTTACATGGCAAACAAGAGAAAACAATCTGAAACAGCACAAGTGGGGAAATAGTTGAATAGTATTGGTACAAGCATATGGTGGAGGGTTTGGTAACCATTAAAAAGATTAAGTTAAATCATCATCTATTGATTTGAAGAAAAATCCAAAATGTACAGTTGAATGTAAAAAAGCAAATTTCATAGAAATTATATAAAATATCATCCGTTTTTTGTAGACAGTATATATATATGAAACAATCTATCTGTGTGTTAATGTTAGAACATGAAGAAATATACAAAATCTTTAAATATTATTCCAAAGGAAATGGACAGAGGGGATGGGAATGAGGAATAGAGAGGGGCAGATATTGATTTTGTTTCTTTTTACTCTGTGTTCTTATTTTATTAATTTGGGTGCAACTGTACTAACTCTGTAATTTTAGATGAGGAACTTAATATAAGATTTAAATATGCACACAAAATTAAATTTCACTTGGCAGTTCTCATTTTGATAATCATACAAAACATTAGAACAGAATATGCTGTTTTTTGTAATTCTCCCATCTGTAAATATTTGCTCACTCTATGTTTCTCGAATTTATTAAGAAATATTTTACCTCCTTATTCCTGTAAAAAAGAATTGTTACTCTAAGAAGGGTTCAAAGAAACTCTTCTTACATAGGACCTAAGAAAAAAGGGAGTAGGGCATGAAAAGACACATCTAAGATAATTGAATATATGAATTTCCTTTCACAGAAGAATAACTGTCCAATGTAAGGAGCATGAAAATTGAGGCACAATAAAGAGCCATCTCAAAAAGTATCCTAAACCTAAACAAAGCTAAAGTCTGGACTTCTTAAAAAACTTCAGGATTTCTTAAGAGATTTTACTAGCTTTCCACACTGTAATGAGAACGTTGACAACGGCCCACAAAGGCTAATATATTTACTCTCTGGCCCATTAAGGAAAAAGTTTGGTGATCCTTGGTCTTGAACACGTTATAAAATGAAAATGACATTTACTGTTTTTTTTTTTTTTTTTTTTTTTTTTTGAGACAGAGCCTCAAGCTGTCCCCCTGGGTAGAGTGCCATGGCATCACAGCTCACAGCAACCTCCAACTCCTGGGCTCAAGCGAGTCTCCTGCCTCCGCCTCCCAAGTAGCTGGGACCACAGGCGCCCACCATAACGCCTGGCTATTTTTTTTGGTTGCAGCCGTCATTGTTGTTTTGGCGGGCCCGGGCTGGGGATTCGAACCCGCCACCTTAGGTGTACGTGGCTGGTGCCTTAGCCAGTTGAGCTATAGGCACCGAGCTGACATTATTTACTGTTATAGCAAAATTGTGATGGTCTGGATTTCATTTTTTGACAGGTTAATTCCTTAAAAATTTTTATTTTCAGTTTTGTGTACATATATAGTTCAAGAGCCAATATTACCCTCCTTGTTCCTTACCATGATTTTTTTTAAAAAATTGATTGACCTTTTAAAAATCAGGAGCTATCGAACATTTTAAAAATGTAGATTTTTGGATTTCCTACAAAGTCAGAAGAAAAACAAGCCCTGGGTTTCCCCACAGGAACTGGTCACTGGGTATATTTTTTAAGTACTGTCCCAACCAGTTCTGTTTTTATTACCCTTTAAATAGAAACATACAATTTGCTAATCTGTTAGAAAGCGTGCATATTAAAGTCTTTATTAAAGATTTGAGACACTTTAAAACAAAAAACTTAAAATCTACACAGGAATAAATGAAGATCTACAGCAACACTGATAAGCTGAGCAAGCTGAAACTTGTACAGGTGAATCAGAGAGGATGCTGCTGACTGTGGTTCTTGGAACTGAAATAACGAACCGTAACACAGTATGTTTCAAAACTTTTGTAGTGACCTAAGTATCTTCATGGGAGACATTGAAAAATAGCTTTCTTTTTTGTATCTTCCTAATTTATTTCTGACATCAAAATTATAGTAAAATGGACTGGACTCAGTGGCTAATGTCTGTAATCCTAGCACTCTATGTGGCCAAGGCAAGTGCACTGTCTGAGCTCAGGAGTACGAGACCAGCCTGAGCAAGAGTGATACCCCATCTAAAAATAGAAAAACTAGCTAGGCATTATGGTGGGTACTTGTAGTCTCAGCTAATCGAGAGGCTGAAGCAAGAGGATCGCTCCTGCTCAAGAGTTTGAGGTTGCTGTGAGCTATGATGATGCATTCAACCCAGGGCGAGAGAGTAAGACACCCTCTCAAAAAAACAAAGAAATGAACAAAATAAAGAAAGTAGTAAAATGGTATATTTATTTCTATATAACTGAAATGGTTTCTTAACACTTGAAAAAGTTTTGCCTAAAAATAAACTCGATTGGGTGCTTCATTAGTAATAGCTAATTGATCTTATGCTAATTTTTCCTAATTATGTGTGTTTACAAGAATCTTCTAAGAGTTCTATTTATCTTCGAGTCAATACTAGTGATTAATATTTTTCTAAAAAAATCATTTTGTTTAGGTTCTCAAATGTATTAAACCAAAGTACTGTATTCAGTATAAACTTTTAAATCTATAACTATAAGGTTTCTATCTCTATCCACTTTTTAAACGCAATGCTGTTTCTCTTTTTCACACTTTTTTCTTCCTCAGCATCACCAATATTTTGTCTATATTCTTGTTACTTTTTATACTAGGTATTTTATGAGGTAGAAAAAGGATACTAGTCTGAATAAAGTTCTTCTCACGTATTATATTACTCACATTACTTTCCCCACCAACACCTAGGATTATTTAATGTTCAGCAGGAAATCAGTGATGATGGAAATTTTTAATTCATTACCTTCAAAGAGGCTTTCTTCAGGTAATACCCTGTCTGAAGTCAGTAAGATCTGCAGAAGTTAAAAAGCCTTTCAAAAAATAATAATGATGATGATAACAAGGAATATAACAATAATGACTAACATTCAATGAGTATGTATTTATTATAGGCCAGGCACAATTCTAAACACTTTGTGTTTCAATTCATACAATCCTCACAAAACACTTTGAGGTAGGTATCTTAATTATTCTCATTTTATAATTTCTTTTTCTTCATTTTTTTTTTTTTGAAACAGAATCTCACTATATCGCCTTCAGTAGAGTTCTATGATGTCACAGCTCACAGCAACCTCCAACTGTTGGGCTTAAGCAAGTCTCTTGCCTCAGCCTCCCAAGTAGCTGGGACTACAGGCACCCGCCACACGGCTGACTATATTTTTGTTGTGGTTGTCATTGTTGTTTAGCTGGCCCGGGCTGGGTTCAAACTGGCCAGCCCCAGTGTATGTGGCCAGCACCCTAACCACTGAGCTACGGGCACCGAGCCTCATTTTATAATTTCTAATCAGATATATTATCTATTAAAAAGATAGAAAAATGATAATACAAAGATATGCCTAAGGAGAATGTCCAGCAGGGACATACATTTTGACAAAATATGTGGAAGAAACTACAACGTCCATCCATAGGGATTCAATAAATATTATAGGAACACAATGAAACACCATGAAGATAATTAGAGCATCTCTATTTACTGAGTAGAAAGTTGTTAATGAACATTTTTAAAATAAGAAAGGCTTACTCTTTTTCTTGTGAAAAAATAAGCCATCTTCAAAACTAAACAGGTCAATTCTTTCAGGTATTAAAGGTATTTTAAAAATAAAGATATTTTACAAACCATGATGTAAACTAATAAACTTCACAGTCACATAAATTTAAGATGTTTTAAAATATTAAGAATGTAACATTTAAAACCAAACTGGAGGGGAAATGAAAACCACAGGATTATATTCCGACATAATTCTCTGATGTTTAATAAGATTAGAGTGGGCCGGGTGTGGTGGCTCACGCCTGTAATCCCAGCACTTGGGAGGCCGAGGTGGGTGGACTGCCTGAGCTCAGGAGTTCTAGATCAGCCTGAGCCAGAGCAAGATCCTGTCTCTAAAAATAGCTGGGCGTTGTGGCAGGCACCTGTAGTCCCAGCTACTTGGGAGACTGAGGGAAAAGAATTGCTTTAGCCCAAGAATTTGAGGTTGCTGTGAGCTATGATGCCATGGCATCTACCAAGGGTGACCAAGTGAGACTCTATCTCAAAAAAAAGAAAAAATTATTAGAGTGGTATCAATAGTGCTGTCATTTCCACTTATTTGTTAGACTGAATTATCTGATTTCAAAAGAAATACAAGCTTTTACTAAAGGGCTTCCAAAATGTATTCGATTCATATCATGTTTCTCCAACATTATTTTTCTCAAGCTGAATAAACTATAGTCAACAAATAAAATGTTTCCACCTTATCCTATCTAGGACTTATTAGCAAGATAAATTCTATGATGGTGAATAGTTTTGAGCCATAATTAAAAAACCTCCTATACATTTCATATATTCTGGTTTATCACCAGTATAAATTTTGATGCTGAATAAATTGTGATTCATAATTAAAGTTCTTTCCACATTCCCTATATTCATAAGGTTTCTCACCTGTATGAATTCTATGATGACTAATAAGTTGTGAACTCTGAGAATAGGCTTTACCACATATCTTACACTCATAGGGTTTCTCACCAGTATGAATTCTCTGATGTCTAGTAAGGTCTGAACCAGAACGAAACGCCTTTTCACATTCTTTACATTCATAAGGTTTCTCACCTGTATGGATTCGTTGATGTTTAATAAGTTGTGAGCTCTGACTAAAGGCATTGCCACATTCCTTACATTCATAGGGTTTCTCCCCAGTATGAATTCTCTGATGTTGAGTAAAGTTTGAACCACTACTGAAGGCCTTCCCACATTCTTTACATTCATAAGGCTTCTCACCAGTGTGAATTCTCTGATGTCGAGTGAAGTTTGAACCACTACTAAAGGCCTTCCCACATTCTTTACATTCATAGGGTTTCTCACCAGTGTGAATTCTGTGATGTCGAGTAAGGTCTGAGCCACAAATAAAGGTTTTTCCACATTCTTTACATTCAAAGGGTTTCTTGCCAGTATGAATTTTCTGATGATGAGCAAGCCTTGATGGATGTCTAAAGGACTTTCCACAATCCTTACATTCATAGGGCTTCTCGATGGTATGAATTATCTGACGTGTAGTAAATTGTGAGCCATGTCTAAATGTTTTTCTATATTCTTTAGCTGTACAGTATTTGTCTTTATTATTAATGATTTGCTGCAAAGTAAAGGATGGATGCTGACTGAAAGTGGGTAAATCTTCATGAGTAAGTATCATTTGACTGAATTGTCCCTCCTGAGAACCATGCTGTTTCTCAAACTGGCCACTACATTCCCAATCATCTTGGAAACTAGAGCACTGAAGGTCATGTCTTGTAAGTTTTTCCATTATATTCCACTGGGCTGACTCTATTTCATAAATTTCCTTCTTCAAAAAGAATTTTTTGGTCCCACATTTTGATTCCAGGACTGAAAGAAAAAAATGAAAGCAATCACTCATATTTTTCTTGTTTGGGAGAAATAAAACTTTAATTAAAATGAATAATTTAACTGATTTAAAAAAAAAAAAACATGATGAGGAGAAAAGAGTGATAGAGATGTCACATCAGAAGATGAGGGCAGTATTTAGAAATACAAAGGAAGTCACTGGTTCCTAAACATTGCTATCCAAAGAATTCCTTTGGGAAGCTTGATAAGTACATACAAGCCTTAGTCTTATCCTCCTTGTTAAGGATGACTCTAATCATATACAAACACACACACAATCTCAGCATATAAACACACACATACATTATAACAGCCAACAGCATGAACTGTAAAATAAAGGAAATGATCACACCTACTTAATAGGGCTAGTGTCAAGATGAAATAAATACACTTGGCTCGGCGCCTATAGCTCAACCGGCTAAGGCGCCAGCCATGTACACCTAAGGTGGCGGGTTTGAATCCCCAGCCCGGACCCGCCAAACAACAATGACGGCTGCAACCAAAAAAAAAATAGTCGGGCGTTGTGGTGGGCGCCTGTGGTCCCAGCTACTTGGGAGGCGGAGACAGGAGACTCGCTAGAGCCCAGGAGTTGGAGGTTGTTGTGAGCTGTAATGCCACGGCACTCTACCCAGGGGAACAGCTTGAGGCTCTGCCTCAAAAAAAAAAACAAAAAAGACTACAGAAATAAATACACTTAATGGAAAATTTCCAGGGATTGGCAAACATATGGCCCTGCACTCTTTTTTTTTTTTTTTGAGACAGAGTCTCACTCTGTCACGCTGGGTAGAGTGCCATGGTGTCATAGCTCACAACAACCTCAAATTCTTGAGCTTAAGAGATCCTCAGCCTCTAGAGTAGCTGGGACTACAAAAGACTGCCATTATGCCTGGCTAGGTTTTTTGTTTTTTATGTAGAGATGGGGTCTGGCTCTCACTCAGGCTGGTCTCAAACTCCTGAGCTCAAGTGCTCCACCCATCTTGTCCAAAGTGCTAGGATTATAGGTGTGAGCCACCGTGCCCGGCCCCTGCACCCATTTTTATAAATTAAGTTTTATTAGAATATAACCACACTTATTACAGATTTTATGGATGCTTTTGAGCTACCATGGCAGAAGTACCTACTTATGACAGAGACTGCATGGACTGCAAGTCTAAAATACTTAGCATCTGGACCTTTAAGAAAAAGTCTGCCAGCCCCTGGTTAGATCTGTATTGTCCAATATTGTAGCCAGGTGCAGCTATTTCAATTTAAAATAATTAAAACTTAATAAAATTTCAAATTTGGTTTTTCAGTCACACTATTTTCATTTCCAGTGTTCAATAGCCAAATGTGACTAGCGGTGTCTGTACTGGAAATCATAAATATAGGACATTGCCATCATCACTCAATATTCCTTTGGACAGCTCTAGTCTAGACTCTGTAATTACAGGGCCAGAGCTCCTTAATGAATAAGGAAATAGAGGACGTTTATCTAAAGACATAGCTTAAGAAAAGGCAAGTGTTGAATGAACACAGTATGAGTGACAGACAGGGAGGATTCTTTTGTGGATACTTAAGGTACATGTTGGAGGTTGATGAAAATATCGTTTGCCTTGGGATTTTGAGATACTGACCTTGGGAGAAGAGACCCGAGGACTTAACAAGGGCACGGGCTCTAGAGAAGGGATGACTAACTGACAGGAAAGGCATTTGTAGGTTTAATGACAAGAGAAGAAAGTAAACTAGAAGGCAGTGTGTTGTATTGAAAGAAAAGAGGTACTAGGTTCAGCTGTATGAGTTTCAAATTCAAATAGTTACAAGCTTTGTTTTCTTGGGCAAATTAATTCATCTTTCTGACCCTGCAGTTCTCTAACACAACAGAAATAACTCCTTTCACTGCTGAGAGGATTGGGAATAATGTATGAGTTGTTCCGAAGGTATCCAGCCATGCATGCCTTTTTTTTGCATATTGCATGGCTGGATACTTTCTGGACAGCTCTTGTATGTAAAGTATTTGGCATAAAATAAGTCGGCTATAATACTATGCAAGAATTTCTGTACAAAAATGGGGGTGTTAAGACACGTGAAATGTTTTGAAGACTACAACTATGGACTCAGAGGGAAAAGCTCAACCCAAAAAGATGAAAATCACTCTAAGTGCCGTCTTCTTTCTCTTACTCCCATTCAGCTAATTCTGCCTAGTTTTACTCCTAAATATCTCTTGAAATTCTTATCTTCTTTCTCTGTGCAATACCTAATAGAAAACATCTCTCTCTCCCTTGAACTGTTAAAGTAGACTCCTACCTAGTTTCCCCACTTGAGGTTTGCAGTCCTGAATCTGTACCACTGGAAAGACATTAGCCTGTCACTGTTTTGCTTAAAATCAGTGGTTTTCCATACAACATTGCTCTTACAATGAAAGTCAAACTTTTGTACATGGTCTGCAAAATTTTGAATAATCTGGTTCTTGCCTGCCTTTTCAATCAAAGCTGACACAATGGTCCCCCCTTTGCTTTCTAAGCTCTGTCCTCACTGGTTTTATTTTTCCATTCTTCAAAAGCCACCAGCTCTGTGTCCCTCTCAAGGTCCTTCCAGGTACTTGTTCTTAAGTCTAGAGGTGTTTTCTTTCATTCTGGGCCTTGATGACTACTATTCATTGTTTAAATATCTACTGAAAGGCCATACTTTTCGAGGTGTTCCCTGATCCTCAAATTATGCCTCGCTTATTATCCTTTTAGTATTCTGTTCTCTGCCATAACAGGATTTTCACAATTTGTAATTATGTATTTATTTGGGTTCATGTAACATCTTTTATCCTCAATAGATCTTAAGTTCTGTGAGGGGAACAATAATGTCTGCCACCTTCTGGAATATGTATTTGACTCTGAGTACAGTATCTAGTACCTATTGGAAGATCAACAAATATTTATTGATTTCTTTAATCAGCAAGTATCTAAATGTATACTCCTTAATAAAAATAGTCACAAAATATTCCTCTAAAAAGTACAGACTTGGGCTTGGCAACCATAGTATAGTGGTTACAGCACCAGCCACATACACTTAAGTTGGTGGGTTCAAGCCCAGCCCGGGGCCAGCTAAACAACGACAATTGCAACAAAAAGTAGCCTGGCATTGTGGTAGGTGCCTGTAGTCCAGCTACGTGGGAGGCTGAGGCAAGAGAATCGCTTAAGCCCAAGAGTTTTAGGTTGCTATGACCTGTGATGCCACAGCACTCTACTGAGGGCGACATAGTGAGACTCCCCCCCGCAAAAAAACCAAAAAACAAAAACTAGACTCATCTTAAATATGGCATATCAAATACATGCATTTATTATGGTTCCTTTATGAAGTCCCAATAAAGTGACAGTAACAAGGTTAAATGAAAAGAAACTTCATAAGGACAAAGAGAATGGGAGAAAAAAGAATAGCAACAAAATTTTGGAAGATAAAGAGTAGTGGGAATAGGGCGATGCCTGTGGCTCAAGGAGTAGGGCACTGGCCCCATATGCTGGAGATGGTGGGTTCCAATCCAGCCCCAGCCAAAAACTGAAAAAAAAAAAAAAAAAAAAAAAGGGCAGCGGGAATAGAAATAAATGATTTATTAACCAGAAAAATACTGGACCCTAAATTGCAGATTGGTCATATTATCAAAATTGAGATATGTTCAAACACTGCAATCACAGGTACCTCTGAATGTAGGGTACATGAGAGGCTGCAAAAACAGAAAATTAATTGAAAACTTGTACAAAAACCAGACCTCAGATTCTCAAATCTACCCCATTCCCCAGCCTGCTATCCACAGTAAACTCCTCAACCTAATGGGCAAGCATATTTCATTAACTCTCAGGAAAAAAGCAGAGGATTCCATTCTGGAGAAAACCAAAGAGAAAAGACCAGACAGATGGTAGCAGTCAATGAATTGTTTTAGGCCAATGATTCTGCTGTGACAATCACCCGTAAATCTATAAACCATCAGACGCAAACACGACCACATCAGCTTTTTAATAGTCCAGTTTTGTATAAGCAGATAGCCTTGAGCCACTCTTTCATTTTTTTTCTTTGAGACAGAGTTTCGTTTTGTCACCCTCGGTAGAGTGCTATGGCCTCACAGCTCACAGCAACCTCAAACTCTTGGGCTCAATCAATTCTCTTGCCTCAGCCTCCCAAGTAGCTGGGACTATAGACATCCGCCACAATGCCCAGCTAGTTTTAGAGACTGGGTCTCACTCTGGCTCAGGCTGGTCTCGAACCTGTGAGCTCAGGCAATCCACCTGCTTCAGCCTCCCAAGTGCTAGGATTACAGGCATGAGCCACTTCACTCACCACTCTTAAACATGAGAGATTAAAATAAACAAAGAGAATAAAAAGAATTCAGGGAATAGGTATAGTAAAAGTTACCAGAAGCCTAATTGGCAGCAAGTTTTATTAATTAAAATAACACTTGGTTATGGAAGTGACTGATGCTGATAAATTCTGATTATTTTTATTAGGTAATTTCTCACCTATAGACTTAAACTGTCAACTTGCTAGTGTCTATTAAACTTTGTAAAATATATATATTCTTATTTTTCCATTGTATGCAAATTTTTTTTTTTTTTTTTTGAGACAGAGCCTCAAGCTGTCCCCCTGGGTAGAGTGCCGTGGCATTACCGCTCACAGCAACCTCCAACTCCTGGGCTCAAGCGAGTCTCTTGCCTCCGCCTCCCAAGTAGCTGGGACCACAGGCGCCCGCCACAACGCCCGGCTATTTTTTGGTTGCAGCCGTCATTGTTGTTTGGCGGGTCCGGGCTGGGGACTCGAACCCCCCACCTTAGGTGGACATGGCTGGCGCCTTAGCCGGTTGAGCTATAGGAGCCGAGCCTGTATGCAAATTGAAAGAAAAAAATGTACCATTTCTCTGTTGTATGTTGGATTATGTAGGAAATGTTTGTGTCCAATTCAAAAAAATGAAAAGTTCCTGTGGATGTTTTATGTAGTATCTTGGCATTTGTATTGATAGTTAAAAATTCACTTCCAAATAAATAAAACTCCCATGACGCTAGATTTTGTGTGCCCAATTTAAACAAGGGTTGACACCTATGAAATTTGCTGAAACCTTCCTCTTATAGGAAAATACAGTAATGTTAAATTATAAAAAAAAATTCAAAAGGTGAATACTATTAGAAAATACATCATAATATTAGAAAATACATAATAATTCCACAACAGAATGTCAGAAAAATAGAGGAAAAAAAATTTAAAAACAAAAATTAGAAGTTAATAAACTCTCACAGAAAGTAGTGATGGAAATAGGAAAATAAAATTTTAAGACTAAGGGTAAGAAATTTAAGAACTCAATTATAAATGTTCAATCACTCAAAAAATTTAATTAACCTTTACCATGTGTTAAGACATGGTACCAGGTACTGCATATAAAAAGTAAATAATCAAAGTTTGAAACAGAGAGAAAAGAGAAAATAATAGGTAACAAGTGATTAGGAAAATAATATGTAAAATTCCAGAGATTTTAAGTTTCCAGAAGGAAATATCTCAATGATTACCCAGTCAAATGAGAGAATAAAACCAACATCATGATTCCTCAACATGAAATAGAATTTAAAAATAAAAAGCTTCCAGAGAGATTAAATATATCACATAAAAGAATTAACCTCAATGCATTAGTTTTGGACTTCTTAGTATTAGATGTTATATATGGGATCAGACGAGCATGAGGCAATGCCTGCAAATTTTGAAGGTAAATGTTTTTCAACCTAAAATTATATCTCGAGTCAAATTATTTTCAGAACTTTTATTACTATCATCATCATTATTACTAACTTTTTTTCTGGAGACTGAGTCTCACTTTATTGCCCTCAGTAGACTGCTGTGGCACGATAGCTCACAGGAACCTCAAACTCTTGAGCTCAAGTGATCCTCTTGCCTCCCGAGTCAGTGGGAATACAGATGCATGCCACAACACTCAGTTAGTTTTTTTTTAGTAGAGACAGAGTCTTATTCTTGCTCAGGCTGGTCTTCAACTCCTGAACTCGGGCAATCCACCAGCCTTGGCCTCCCAGAGTGCTAGGATTACAGGCGTGAGCCGCTGTAATATTATTATTATTTCTGAGACAGTGTCTGGGGTACAGTATACAGTCACAATTAATTGGAATGTTGACCTCCTGGGCTCAAGTGATCCTTCTGTCTCAGCTTCCTAAGTGGCTGGGAATATAGGCAGGCAAGTGCCATCATGTCCTGCTAATTTTTAAATATTTTATAGAGAGGGGGTCTTGCAGTGTTACCAAGGCTGGTCTCGAACTCCTGAGCTCAAGTGATCTTCCTGCCTTGGCCTCCCAAAGTGCTAGGATTAAAGGTGTACACTGCCACATCCAGCCTTAGTCAAATTACCAAATATAGTGAAATGAAAACATTTTCAGACATACAAGAATTCAGACATACAACAAAGTACACAAAATGTACTTTCTATTTATTTCTCTTCTCTTGCTTCCTTTCCTTGGTTGCTTTTATAAGATTTGCCTTAGAAAAATGAGGGAATATACAGTGAAAGAGGAAGGCAAGAGATCTAATTGTCAAAGTATACAAAGGTATCTAAGGCATCCAAATACAGAAGAGAATCAAAAAGAATTCAAAGGAGAGCAGTAAGGGAATCAATGGGATGACTGTACGGGAATATATGGGTGACAACAACATGAAATTTTAACATTATAGCTACTTAACTCTCTTGATTAGAAGAACCGAAGATTACAGGAGTGATGCCTCAGTTAAAAAATAAAACAAAACAAAACAAAACAAAACAAAAAAATAGTTACCTAGTAAGATTAAAAAGAATTAGACTGGTGACAGATATACAGAAAACAAAGCAGCTCCCAAATAAGACAAGATTTAACTGTATGGAAAACAAAGAGTTAAAAATTGTAATACTATTATGTTTGGAGGATGAAGAAAGAGGTTGTAAAGTAAGGCAAATCTTTAAATTCCAGTGAAAACTTCATTATAATGAAACGAAAAGATCAAGAAAAAGAGAAGTAAAGAACAGGAAGAATAGATAAAAGATTTGAAAGTTGCTTAATCTTTGGAGAGGAAATGGGGAGTGGGGAAAGTATAGTCTCCTGAACTATTATGATATATATATTATACAAATGAATTTTTTTTTTTTGAGACAGAGCCTCAAGCTCTCACCCTGGGTAGAGTGCCGTGGCATCACAGCTCACAGCAACCTCCAACTCCTGGGCTCCAG